CCTTCATAAGCTGGCACCCCGGCTGAAACAAGACGTTTTTGGACTTTTCTGCCCTGGGACTGGGGGTGCGGGGAGCGAGGCCTGGGGGAAGATGAAGGGGGTCTGCCCCGCCCCCGTCAGTTCTGTGGAATCTGACTGGGAGGGTCCTGGGCCCACTTTTCCCTGTAGCCGGGGGAGGGCACGTGGCACGACCGAGAGCCACCCCCGTCCGCCTCGGCAGGGGGGCAGAGGGCCACGGCTGCCCGAGGTCCAGGAGGCCGAGCCCTCGCCCATGCTCTGCCGGCGACAGGCCTCGCGGCCTCCCTGGGCCAGCGAACCAGCCACCCAGCGGGAGCTCCGGGGGTGACGAGGGGGGCAGCTTCGAGGTAACACGTGTGGCTCGGGGGCAGATGGGGTCACTGGGCCTCAGGGGGGCCTGACCCAGGGAGGCCGGGACTGGCCCTGGGGACGGCACGGGGGGCCAATGGCAGAGGCCAAGAGCCAGGCGGCGGGAGGGCCCTCGTGCGAGCGGCCACACCAGCTGTTGCAGTCTGTCCTCGGCCACACCCGGCCCTCGGTGGGGACCGAGCCTGGGGGAGGGGCTTTTGCTTGGCGGGTTGGAAGCCTGGGAAATCCGGACCCAGTAAGTTCCATGGAATTCACTGAACACGACGGAATTTTCACACTGGACACACTGGGAACTCGAGGCAAATTAAATTCAGTTCTTGAATAGTTACACTTTCCCACTGAATTGAACACCCGTGACATAGTTTGCTGTACTGATCTGGCCTGTTCTGGGTCTCAGATTTCGGGGTCTACCAGTGTAGAGATGACTCCCAGTGAGGTGAGCCTGTCACACCTATGTCCCCATTCAGGTTCGAATAGGGCTGCTCTTGTTGTTGTTATTTATTAAATGTGAGCAACTCTTTGTTCCCAACGGAAACACAGGTGAGGCAAAGCACCGGTGGGGAACAGGGAGTCGTCCGCGAGGCCCCGTGCTCCTGGAGGGCAGCACGGGGCCCCGTGTCCCACAGCTATCGGGGTGAACCGAGAGGGTGGCCCTGCTGTGACCTCGGTGACGTCCCTGGTGTTGGCGCCACTCGGTGCCAGCCCTGGGGAAATGGAAAGGCCACCGCACAGGGTGTCTGGTTTCTGAGAGGCCACTCTGGGCTGGGTTCTGGGCCTAAAGCCACAGCCTGCGCAGGACGCCTCGGGGGAGGGGACACAGGGCTCGCCGTCAGCCGTGCCTTAGCAGTGGCGTGGCTGGGAAGGTCGCCTGGCTCTGTGTTGTGTCCCGCAGTGACAGGGCCTTTCGCTGGGTGCCCCGCTCCCTCGGGCAGCCTGCCCAGGCCTCCCCGACATGCCCCAGGCCTGGGGTCGAGTGTCCCCAGTGGGTTGGTTTTCAGCATTGCCTCCTCCACACCCCAGATCCTTGCATGTGCTCAGATCTCTCCAATAATAATAAACAAAACAAACCAAAAACAAAATCCAACGAACTGTCGCCTCAGACGGGAGCCCGGGGATGGGTCTGCATCTGCCCCTGGCGGTGCCTTCGCGTTGCAGTCCCTGCACCAACGCCGGCTCAGGTCGCGGCCTCGGTGCGGCTCCTCTGGGTGGTCACGGTTGGCCGGCACAATAACGGTCCCCAGAGGGGCCCACGGCCTCGCACCCAGAGCAGGCGGCACAGCAGGCTGTGGGGCAGACCGGGTGGGGAGCGGCTGGAAGGAAGCTCTGGCCGGCTGGCCTTTGCGCAGGGGAGGGGAGTAACTTGCAGCGTTCGGCGGCCCCGTGTCCGGCGGCCTGGTGCTGCCATGAGGGTCCCTCGTAGCTGGGACAGAGGCAGAAGAGCAGCTGTGGCATGTGAAACACCGGCCAGCTTTGCTCATCTCTCGCTCTGAAGTCAGGGAAAGAGGCCGGGAGCTGAGGAGCCCGGGTGGACCCTCCGGAGCCTCCGGGAGGACGGGGCCCTCCCACCTCTCGGTGGCACCCGCTGAGCCCCCCGCTCTCTTGGCCCCTCCGACCCCACCTCACGGCCAGAGTCCCCTGGAAAACCAGGCTGTGAGGTGAGCAGTCAGCACGTCACAGGTGCTTCCGCTGATTTCAATGCGGAGGCACCGGCTCCTCCACCCTGACCCAGGACAGCAGTTTCCAGATGGAAAACGCATGGCGAGAGGACGAGGGGACGGGGTGGGGGAAGGCTGTGGGGGACCCGAAAAAGGTGAGGGGACCAGGATGGGGAACCGCTGGCACCTCGGCCTGGGGGTGGGGTGGAGGGCTCTCCTTCCACTGTGGGTGGGAGGCGGCTCCAGGGGACAGAGCCCCGGGGGCCGGAGCTGTGCGCCACTTACCTGTGCCCCCAGCTGGCCGGCAGCCGGCCCGCACTGCCGCCCCTGTGCACCCCCCACGCCTCGTAGCAACAGAGTTCTCTTTCTGGAGCGGAAGTTCGTGACCTCTCTCCCCCGTGAAATCTTGCAGTAAGCGCTTGCTGTCTGCAGGGCCGACCTGGAGCCGCTCCAACCTGCCCCGTGCGCAGCTGCGGCTCCCTACCCCGCCCCTGCATGTCTCCCATCCCATCAGGCAACTGCCCAAGTCCCGACCACCTGGCGTTCCCCAGACACACCCTCCTGTCTCAGCCCCGGGGCTCAGACAGCACCGAGGTTTAAAGAGCCCTTTCAACTTGTCCATTTTGCACAAGTTCTAATAGCGAGGAAGCAGTAACTGAAAATGTTTATTTTTGACCAATTTCCAACCTGTTAGCTGCTGTGACCGCACACGAGGACCCTCCCCTCTCTGACATGAAAGGACTCCTGATACTCACCCCCCAGGTGCACCTGTGGCGGGTCTGTAGGTGCGTCCTCTGGGCAGGTGTGCTCAGTCACTCCCCCGTCACCCCCTCTCCCCTGAGCTTCTTCACAACAGGGGACAAATTGTGCATTTCAGCATTCTTAGCAAATGCCCAGAACAAACAACGCCGTTTCCCCCTCGTGGTTGAACACCAGGCAGGATGGACGGATGTGCAGAGGAAGAGTCAGTCCCAAGGCTGGTTTAGCTGTACGGTGGCAGCTGCTCGGTCAAGTATTTTCAGGTGTCTTGCAGCGCCATCTAGAGCCAGGACACAGAATAGCATGATACAAATCCCAGCGCCGAAGCAGGCCATTTGCAGGGTGAGCAGCTCTTGGTGGTCCCCACATCCGCATTGGGCCTCAGGGCAGATCCTGCCTGGTTTTGGCAGATAAATTCATTGCACTCAGAACATAATCAGTCAATATGTTTCTGCCTCAAACACTTTGTGGAAATATTTAGAAGTGGGAGCGTCGCAGGTGAGTTTTAAAGGCTTGGCACCGACGTGGCCACCAGTGTCCTGGCCTGTCAGTGCGGGGGCGGGGGTGATTTAGCCCCCCATGCGCCCTGCTGGGAGGGCTGACGCAGGGGAAATGCATGTCTTGGGACCAAATGAGTTCCCTTTCTGCTCTAAACCAAGACTCGGCAATTTCACGTGAAGTGAGCTAAATCCACTCTTGTGCCGACGGGCGGAGTGAGGGCAGTGCAGGCTGGATTCTGGAGGTGACCGGCTGGCCCCGGGGACCCACACTTCAGGCCCGGCTGCGGGAGGAGCCTGTGCGCGGGGTGGGAACTGCGGGGCGTCTGGCCGTCTATGGGAACAGCCAGCTGCTTCATTAAGTCACTGAGCTGCTCTGAGCAGAAAGACTCATTGCTCCATCTCCCATAGCTGGTCGCACAGCACCTTGGGTGGCCACCCATGTGATCCTAATGAGTAATTAGGGGGTTGGAGACAAAGCATGTCCTCCCCAGGGTCAAGGCTTAGATATCCCTGATGCAATGTGGACATTTTCTTTTTTTCTTCCTTTTTAGATTTTATTTACTTAGTCCTAGACAGAGGGAAAGGGAGGGAGAGAGAGAGGGAAAGAAGCATCAATGTGTGGTTGGCTCTCATGCACCTCCCACCGGGGACCTGGCCTGCAACCCAGGCCTGTGCCCTGACTGGGAATCGAACTGGAGACCCTTCGGATCGCAGTCTGGCTTTCGATGCACTGAGCCGCACCCGCCAGGACGCAATGTGGACATTTTCATATCAACATTCCGAGTTGTGGCTGGACCCCTAAACACTGTGAGCACTGGAGAAAGAAGACCCATAAACCCTGCCACTACCTGTGTCCAGGTGAAATTCAGGTGCCCCTAGTTACGGAGCCGCCGGAGCACGCAGAGGCGCGGCGACCCGTAGGTTCTGAGCGCGCACGTCGAAGGCGTCTGACCAGCGCCGATGGAGATACGAGGAGCGGTGCGTGCCCGAAGCCCCCAGGGACCCTCTGACCTCACGGTGCAGCGCTGAGTCGGACTGTTGCCACCTCTCTCAAAGTAGAGCGGAGGCGGAGAGGATGGCTTAAAGGTGTCCCCTGGGAGCAGCCCGCCCCTGCCCCTGCGCCCCTGAACGCTCTCAGGCAGGACAGGCAGAGACCTCGGGCTTTCCCCCTGCAGCTCGGGGTGGCCTGAAGGAAGGGCACAGGCCGTGCGGCAAAACTCCTCCCCACTGGCTGGTCTTGGGGGAGTTCCTGCCCCTCAGATCATCTCAGTTCCCTGCGAGGGACTCCAGGGTCATCGCTCTGAAGTGACAACCTCATGGTTTAGTGACTGTCCCTACTGTGTGCCAGAGCCCCAGAGGCAATGGGCTGGGTCATGCACTGTGCAATGGGAATCTCTCTGTACCAACTGAAGATGCCCAACCAAAGAGCAGTTGCCTTTTTGCTCCCGACGTTTTGGAGAGGAGTTAGAGAGTGCAAGGGTCTTTGGCTGTTTTTTTCAAATTAACAAAGTGTTTTATTGCACAGGGTAAAACCAGCAAGCAGGCCTAGTGCTCTGGGCTGAAGAAGGCGAGAGGCTGGGGGGCGGGGCTGCGTTGTCCCGTTGCCTGGCAGCAGAGGAACACGGTGGGCGGGGCTCAGAATGCCTGTCCTCTCGGGGTGACTCCCCGCCCAGCCAGGAGCTCAGCCTGAGGGGAGACGATGGCTGAGGAGTCGCAGCCGCAGTGTAAGTGGCCCAAGGGCTGGCGTTTGCTGCTAGGTGCCTGTCTCACGTGGGGTTGCCTAGGAGCCAGCAGCTCTGAACCCCACGTGGAAAACGAGGGGCCTTCTGGTGGCGGCAGCTCAGCCCCTGGGGCGGCCCGGCTGCAGGTCGGATGTGAGGCCGAGTTGCCTAGGCAGCAAATCTAGGAACAACACGCAAAGGACACAGATCAGACATAGGTGCGCGTGTGCGTGTGTGTGCATGTGTGTATGTGTGTGTGTGTGTGTGTCCCTGTCCTTGGCTGAAGGAGGGAAGAAGGAGGAGGTTTCTAGACCCTATTCCTGGATTCTTTTGAAAAAGCTACACCCCAGGGCACTCTCTGTGCACTTGGCCCTGCCCCAGTCCTTGCTCAGCAGCCGCCAGCCCCCGGGGCACCAAGTGCCCCACTTTTTCTTTATTTGATGTCTTTCTTTGGCCCGGGGCCCTCGTTGTGAATTTGCAAACGGGAGGCAGGGAGCTGGCACCCCAGGTCTTTGACGCCAGGGTCGCTGCTCTGCCACCAGGCCGTGGACACGGGAATGGGACCCACGGCCCAGGTGACTCGGGTGAGAGAAACCTGTTGGATTGAGCGGAACCAGTGTGAGTTTTCAAAGAGTGTTATACAATTTTTATTTTATGACTCCCAAGCGCGCGAAGAGCCATTCTCTGCGCGCGGGGCTCTGGATGCGGCCTGCGGCCCCCGGCGGAAGCCGCCTCTGGCTCGGTGTCCCCGTCCGTAAGGCGGGGGGAGCAACAGTGCCTGCCTCCTGTCAGCGCTTTGGCTGTTTGTCCTGGGCGAATAGCACCCTCTTCCTTATAAAGAACAGAAGTGACGGTGTCGGTCCGGTCCCTGGGCTGGTCGTCCTAGTGCAGTGGTGAGAAGCGGCTCTAATCGCGAGGCTTGGGCGTTCTGCTCTCCCCTTCTGCTGCCGGCTGGGCCGACTTCCTGTGCACCGGGAGGTCTGTCTCGGGCTCTCTTGTCCAGTCATTCAGACCGATCGGCACAGCTTCCTTCTGTGCGTGCTGTGCGGGGTTTCCATTGTCCCACTAGGCGGTGGGACGGGGAGGTCATGGAGCGTCCAGCTCTGAGCCGGTGGCCCCGCGTGTTGGCATCACCGGCGCTGGCTGGTCGAGAGCCGACCCCAGGACTATCCGTCCGGCGCTTCCTGTGCCAGGCACCTGGTGGCTAGAAACAGAAAAGTGTCCCATGTTACTTTGGCATTTCTTCATAAGCACATGTTCTGTACATTAAACACTAGGAGGGAGAGTTAGTTGCCCGACAAACCCCAGCCCGTGAACCGGTGACGTCGGGGTGAGCAGGGCAGAGGTGCCTGCGAACACCCACCGCGCAGCGGGAGCCGCCGCTCCGTCCTGCGCCCCTCGGCTTCCCCAGCCCGTGGGCATGAGGGGAGAGCGCTGGCACTGGGCTGTGTCCTCAGGCCCTGGTGGCCTCCAGGCAGGGAGAGTGTTGCAGGGGCGCCTGGCCCATCACACGAGGAAGGGGCAGAGGTCGGGGCGTGGGAAGGCTTGACGCGCCCTGCTGGCTCCGAGGTGGAGGGGCCGTGTGTCCGCAGAAGTGGGTGTCCCCTAGGAGTGGAGTCACCCTGACAACGGCAAATGAGGAGGTGGGGAGCCCCCAGTCCTACAGTGGCACGGACTGGACTATGTCAACAGCAGAGATGGGCCGGGAGGCGGCCTCCCCCAAAGCTTCCGAGAGCTCAGCCGGCCACGTCCTCACGGCCAAGCTGTTGGGCCGCAGCGGGCCCCGCCCCCCAGGCTGCGGCCTGACCCGCGGAGCTGTCAGCTGCAGGGGGTTGAAGCCACTGCGTGCAGGGCAGGTGGTTAGGAGGAGCCGTCGCCCGTCTCCACTTGTCTGCGCCCTCCTTTCTCTTCTGAGGAGAACACCATGGGCCCTGACCTACGGCCGCCGCTTCAGGGCAGGAACAGGCCTCATAAAGGGCTTTGGTGTTTTCCCCCCGCGTCTGCGGCTCCTCCCTCGGGCCGCCCGCCAGCCCGCGGGGAACGCACGCAGCTGCCTGCCGCCTCCCTGCGGGCCTCCATGCGGACGCGCCGCCTTCCTGTCCCCCGTGCAGACTACCTCCGCTGGAAGCACTGTGAGGACCCCGGCGTGAGGACGCTGTGCAACCTCGCGAAGCTCCTGAACAAGCTGGAGCAGGCCCACAAGGACGACATCGCCCTCTACACCTCCGGACACCTGAACCCCAACAAGCTGTACAGGCCCCCCGAGACCATCCTGCATCACTGGCGCAATGCCACCGGGCCGCGGGGCCGGGGAGGCCGCCGCGAGGGAAAGCCACGCGACAAGGGGGCGGCCGCGATGAAGGACGCTTGGGCCTATTTCACCGTCAACACCGCGCTGGGCCCGAACGAGGGCCCTGGGACGGCCCTCTCCAGGTATCTGAACCCTCCCGCGGGTGCGTTGTGCGCCCCCGAAGAGGACGTCCTCCCCGGGCCGGCCGCGGGGGCCGAGGGCGCCGTGCAGCGACAGAGAGGAGCGCTCCGCTGGTGGCCGGGGGCTCTGGAAGCCCAGGCGGCGCGGTCTGGCCGCGAGTGCACGACGTCGCCCCCGGGCCCGGATGAGCACGTGAGCGTCGGCTCCTACCTGGCTGGCCTGACGAAAGCCGACAGGTTCAGGAGGCTGCTGCGCTTCCAGAGGGACGTGCTCGGCACGCAGGATCTCCTGGTGAACGATTTCACCGGGCGCCGGGCAGCGAGACGCCACGAGAAGAAGCTGGAGCAGGTGCGGCGGGCGGCGCTGCGGGGCTGCGGGGCTGCGGGGCTGGGGGGCCCCGCCCCTGGGGGCTCAATGCTGTGGGCGGGAGGCTGGCCCTCGGTCGCCTCGTTTCCACGTCCAGGTGGCACGTGGCCGTGCGGCCAGGTGCTGGGAACATCCCATGTGGTAACAGGGTGACACAGAGGCGGGCCGAGCCCGGGAGCTGGTACGTGGGATGGAGGTGACGCTGTGATTTAAAGCGTCCGAAGCTGCAGGCCCGACAGCGGGCAAGCAGCCGTTCGCGGCCGAGGGTGCGCCCAGGAAAGGGCCTCCTGCCGCTGGTGGAGCCAAGTGAGGCGGGCGGCGGGGGGGGGGAACAAGTCACAGCCCACAGGGTCTGCAGAGGGTGGACAGGCCCCATGAGGAGCCCGCAGAGCTGCCCCGGGCTCGAGCCGGGGGCAGGGAGCGGCCCTGATGCTGGGAGGGGACGGTGTGGGGCAGAGCAGGGGGGAGAGGTCGGGCGAGCTGACCCGGGCGCTGACGCGCAGAGCGAGGCCGCGGGGGGCGTGTGGAGGCAGAGAGGGGATCGGGGGCACGGGGTGCGAGGGAAATGGATAAAGGAACTAAACGGCCACAGAAGGCTCGCTGGGCCAGCAGCTTGGCCCAGGCTCCCGGCGCCGGCTGGAGGGACCAGACACACTTTGGCTGCGCCCGGCTCCGCTGGGACCTGGCCCCGGGGCGGCGGGGGCTGCAGCTTCCGACGGAAGCCCGTGGGGGGCCCGGTCCTCAGCCGAGGGCCATTCGGAGAGGGAGACGGGGCGCGCTGCCAGGACAGGCTCTGATCTCCTGCAGGAGCTCCGGAGAGGGTGCCTGTGTGGCCCTCACAACAAACTGCAGGTCCTCAGCAGCATCTTCGCAGACGTTTGCAACAGTTCTTTGCTATTTGGCGACATCCTGAAAGAAGTGAAGGTGAGAAACATACTTTTCCCACTGAACAGCTGAGAGCCAGGCCTGGTGTTCTGCCCATATGATCTCAGGCCCCACCGAAGTTCTTCCCAGGTCCCCGTCTCCCTTCTGCAGACGTGGAAAGTCACTGAGGACGCAAAGGGACGCGTCTGCCGCCGCCGGGGCCGTCAGTGGGCCGCGTGCGGGGGCCGCCCAGCCAGCTCAGTCCCAGGGCCCTATTTTTTCATGAAAACTTCCCAGTTGTACACAACAAATGGAAACAATCACACTTATGTAACATATACCCTTGTAATTATGCATGTGGCTTTTTATGAATCCTTATGAAACGGTACACGTGTTGCGAGTTCACCACGAGAGAGACCTCTGTGTGGAAGCTGCATTGAAATTAGGTTGCTTATGCAGCCTGCTCTCCTCCAGGTCCTTAACGGCGAGCGACACCTAAAGCAGCCGTGTGGTGACAAGGTGTGTGGAGCATGTCCCCAGGCTGGAGGGCTTGTCCTGGGCAGGTCAGCAGGACCCACACCCACGGTGCTTCCACGTGGCCGGCGGGCGGTCACGTGTGTATGTGGGTCAAGGCATTCGATGCCACTATCTAAGGGGATCGAAAGTTCATGCTCAGATGTGCTTCAGAGATGCTCAGATCGTGTGCATTTTAGTGTGTGTTGTTTAATATAGTGTAGAATTTTTTTTTGTCTTTTTATCATGGTTGAAACTGACACCTGTATTATTTGCATGTGCCAAAGCCTGACCCTGCTGCGCTGGCTCAGGACAGAGCTGTAGGGACCCTTCCTCTTTCCCTGCAGGACGAGTACGAGCTCTACATGGCCATTCTCCTGCACACCCGGCCCGCAGAGCGGTTCCAGGTAACGTCCCCGCAGGGGCGGCGGAGCCCGGCGCCACCGGCTCTCGGCCTCCGAGGAGGCCCCTCTGCGCCTGCGTGGCTTCGAAGAGGCGGGGCGTGTGTGAGAGGGCTGTGCGCGGCCTCGCTGAGGGCACGCGCGCGAAGGATGCGCTGTCTGCGCCCCCCGCACCCCCGCGCTCACGGGGAGAGTCGGGGGGGGGAGGGGCGCACACACGGCGGGCTTCTTTGCCCACGTCTCTGGTCGCCGATGCTTAGCGACCTTCCCTGCTGGCTGATCTTCCAGCCCCCTCTCCTCTCGCCACACTCCCGTTTGTGTAACTTCTGGGCACTGGTGTATGCAGGACCATACACATACGTTGGGCTTATCCTATTTTGCAACATTTAAAAACCAGTGACAAGCATATATATACACACACCAGCCCTGGCCAGGCGGTTCTGCAGGTTGGAGCATTGTCCCATCCACCAAAAGGTTGTGGGTTCGATATCTGGTCAGGGCACACACGGGAGGCAATCGATTGATGTTTCTCTCTCTCCCTTTCTCTCTCTTCCCCTCCTGCCCGCCCCCGCCTCTCACAAATCAGTAAATGTATCTTCAGGTGAGGATTAAAAAAAAAAAATCACAGCATTACAAACAGTTTAGCTCTTACTCCTTAGTCCCAAATCACATGTGTGCGCTGTTTGCTTTGCTTTGGGATTTTATGCAGCAGAGAAATAAGCTTTTGTCGGACAGGATTAATCACAGGCTCCAGCTGGGTCTTCCGGTTTCTGACCCTTCGAGGCTGAGTCACGACGGGACGAACGTGCCCCGCGTCACCCGGCCGCCCCAGCGACGGGGTCCCCAGGCCGCCGGGCGCCTGCTGCGCGCTCTGGAAGCGTGGCGGCCAGTCACCGCAGGGGCACATGTCCGCTTCTCCTCACTGGCGCCCGGCGCTGCTGTGTCCCCAAGAGCAGGGACCACACGGAACCCGTTCTCACGGACTCGGAGGTCGTCGCGGAGCCCACCGTGACCTGCCTGGAGCGCTTGACCAGCGCGTTCTTCCCGCACAAGCCAGCAGGGGGACCCCCACCATTTTTTAAATTTCGTAGGGAAAGAACACCTTAAAGTATTGGAAAATGACGTGACCCAGGTCTTCACGTGACTCACTGTCCTGCCCCACCCCTCAGGCCTCCCTGTTCACCTGGGTTCACTTTCTGTTGTGACCCAGAACATCTTAAAAATGCTGTAAAACCAAAAAAGGAAAGCGCTCCCCCCACCCCCACCCCCGCCCCCGCGCGCGTGCGCGCTGCCCGGGCGTCCCTGTCCTCCTAGACGCTGCTGGCCGACGCCGAGGGGCTGGAGAGGAGGCCGGTGACGACGGCGGAGGTCCGCCAGGCCCGGGAGCAGCTGCAGGCGCTCGTGGCGGCCACCAAGGCCGCCCTGGAGCACAATGACAAGTGAGGGTCTGGTCTGATTTCATTTACCTTGGCTTATCCTATTGTACCCAGTTTGAAAACTCGTGACAAGCGCATGTATACACACAGTTTTCTGCACCATGCCCCGCACTGTGCTGGTCGTCTGGCCTCTTCCACAAGCCGTCATGTGTGACCAGGACCTTGAAGGCCTGGTGTTGCCATTGTTGTGGGAGGGGGGGTCCCTGGTATTTCTCCCGTCTTTTCTGGCGGCCCCCGAGGGCTTCCTTTGATAGTCGCCAGAGCTGAGACGTCCAGACCCCTGCCCCTCTCGTGAAGGCCCTTACGGTGCCTTTAGCTTCACGAGACCTACCTAACGGCCCAGCTCACGAGGCTTTCAGGAGGAAATGGTGTGTGAAGGATTAAAAAACAAATTAAAGCAAATCGGGCATACCCAAAATATCCTCCAGAAAACAAAGCAAGCAACCAACGCAAAACAAAACAAAACAAAAAAACCCCCAAAACAACCTGAAAGAAACCCGTGACTTCAGTGTAACTTTTGGAAGAGAAAAAGGTGTGAAAATTCAAAAGGCCTGACAATAGAAAATAACCTTTGCGTGTCCCTGAGGCCTCGTCGCTTGCCACAGACCGGCGGGCGGGCAGGGGCCGCTGGGGAGGGAGAGGGGGGGCCCGCAGCGCCCTGGAGGGTTCGGAGCCCACGGTGCGCAGAGCGCGGGGGTGTCCCTCAGCGAGGAGCAGCGGAGGCTCCCGGTAGGTCTCCTGGCCACTGGCGGAGGAGGAAGGGATGTCATGGTGAGTGTGGAAGCAGGAAACCACGCCGACGTCAAAACACGCAGGCGAGGAGGGAGGCAGGAGGACGCGATCGCCACCCTTCGAAACGGGGTGGCGCGGAAAGAGCCGCAGGCCGGGGCCGGGGCGGGGGCGGGAGGCGGGGTGGACGGGGTGGCGGGGGTGGTCCGGGCCCCGCAGCAGCAGAAGGCGGCCGGGCGCCCAGCCCCTCCCATCCCGGCCTGCCTGCCTTCCAGAAAGTGCTCTCCGGAGGAAGGTCAAAACAGAACAGCGGAAAAACCCCCAACAACAGCACAGGAATGTTTGCTGCTCTTGCATTAGGGGGCCCACACACCACCCCAAAGCGCTAGCCCACAAAAGGAGGAGGTGAAAAACATCTTGTCTGCAAAGTCTACTCTGACAAGAAAACAGACAATGAGAATCCCACCAACCGAGCCGGTGGCAATCCCCGCCGAGGGACAAGAGCCAGCGGCGGGTGAAGCCGCCCCAGGGTCCCAGCCAAACCTGAGAGCCTCAGAAGAGCATTTCAGGATGTGAAAACCACCTTGAGTCAGATATGTAGACCTGAGTGTGGATATCAACGACAACAACCACAAAAATAAGACACAAAACAGGATTTGACAACGGAGGAAAGAGAGGTGAAAGGTCCAAGGCGTGGATCGAGACCCGGCTACGACAGGCCCAGTGAGGCGCGGTTTTGAGTGAAAATGTACTAAGGGGCATCAGAGAAAAGCAGGAAAACAAGACAGTGAAAATGAGGTAAAGAAAAAGTGGTTGAAGTGGAAGACGGGTAAAGAAAATCCAGTTTACCCGTAATCAAAGTCCCTGAAGAAGAAAAAGCAATGGACTAGACCTAAGTAACATTTAAAACTATACCTCATGGAAAATTTATAGACACGAGACACTCTGAATTTATATATTGAAAAGGCTGTTATCATTATTAGCAATCCAGTTAACCTCAATTTCTTAAAATTGGGGATCATAATACTTTTCTGTTTCACGTAATCTATGGTAAAATGAGCTGTTAGGTATGAAAGTCCTCTTAGACTATCAGACTCCTGTGGACATGAAGTATTAAGTAATTTTTGGCGTTAATGTTTTTATTAAAATCATAGGGTTTCCCTCAGTATATATAACACATTAGATTCCTTTACTTTTCTCAGTCTAAATCCATTAGAAATAAGATAGTCAATTTAGTTTATTTTGAACCAGGAAGAGGATACAAAGGAAGAGATGGCAAAGATTTTTGTTTTCTTATTTTAGCATTTCTCGTATTTTATTTTTAGCTCACATACAGTGGAATTTGTATATTGTATCTGTGGATGAAGACGTAATACAGAGAAAAAAATGAAGTCTTATTGCAACTTCAGCGAGACCTTTCCATTGCCCCTGATTTGTTGTTTGCCTCAGAATAGAAAATGCTAGGTGTGTGCCTCCTTGCTTTTTAGGAATTCAAGTCACAAAATACCATCGATAAACAACATGAGAAATCATTTAGTTTACATGAATCGGCTCCTTTAAATGGCGGTTTACACAACCTTGGCAAGGGAGTAGCCTTTGGTTTCTTTAACTTGACGGACACAAGCTCTCGTATACATCTTTATATACATTTTCTAAGTACCTTTCTGTTAGAAAATAAGGTTTCTTTTTATTCCTCAATTAAAAAAAGACACACAATAAAGAAGAGGAAGGAGGAATGAAGGGGGCTCTCATATTTCCCTGTTCTTGTTACCGAACCGCAGACTCAGAAGCGAACTGGAGGCGGAGCGCAGGCTGCTGCAGGCCGCTAGGGAAAGCGCAGGTTCTCCAAAGCACGGTGAGTCTTTTTTAATCCGAAGTGTTTTAGAGGAAATATGGGAGCGGCTGGGGAAGGAGTTGATCTTTGCTGCCCATTGTTCCAGGTAGAGGCCTTCAGCTAAGGTCAGGGATGAGATCGAAGGCTTTCTTTCGTAGTTTTTCTCACGGTTTGTTTTGAAGGCTCTTAGTTCATCACGTATCGACTTAACTAATTTCCCCAAATTTCAAAACTTAACTTCAAAGTGTTCCCTTCCTTCAAATTTGGTAAAGTTTAACGATAGCAATGACTTTGGCCTTACATACTATGTAACAGTAAGTAGTATGTCTTTCTCACTGCCTTTTTTCCCCATCAAAAAAGAATTGTTCTTTCTCAAAAAATTAAGTCATAGCAATCCAATCAGAATCTGCCTGAGCTGTTTGACACCAAGACCCCCTTAGCTTAGCGGGGAGCTCCTCTCAGTGTGTCCGTCTCCTGCCTGTACTATGTAACTATTGATAGTCACTGGCTCCCGGCATGTCTTTGATTCCGTCCACATGCCATTGATTTAAAATTTCTTGCTAGAATCTTTTTTCTTCGTCTTGAGATCAGTACATCCAACTGCCTAGTGGACAGGACTCCCTGAGTCTCAACTCCGCATGTCCAAGATGGATTAATCTCTCTCTCTCTCCCCCCCCCGGCCCCGCCCCACATCCCCCTCTGTCCCTGGCAATATCGGTGAACGGCATCACCAAGCCCAGGGAGGCTCCGGCCAGAAAGCCCACAGCAGGCGCCCTTCACGTATCTCCCCTGAACCGCTTCAACGCGGCTTGCAGCAGGGGCCACGTTGGGTTCGGACCTGGGTCTTCCTTACCTCTCCATTGCATTGAACTCGCTGTCTCCCTGCCACCGGGCCTGCCCTGGCTACGACCAAGCCGAGGCCCCGTGGTTGCTTGGGCGCCCACCTCTTCACGGCACCCGGGTCTAGTCAGTGACCCAGTCCCGCTTGGGTCCTGTGTCCTGAATCGGCTCTGTGTCCCTTCGCTTCCCCTTGTGCCGCGGGCACTGTCCTGGCCTGCTCTTGTTGCGGTGACGGCAGTGGCCTCCTGGCTCACCTTCCTGATTGCAGTCTTGCCTCTCGCTGTGCGCGCTCGGTGCCGTGCCCACGGTGGCTGTGGCCCCGCTGTTCTCCCCAGCTGGGAGCCGTCCTCACCTTCGCCTGGTTCTTATCATCACGCGTGAGACTTTTTCCAGGCAGCCCCTGCTTCCTTTCTAGCAGCATCTCTGATGTTCCTCTCCCCGGTGCTCAGTGGCTTTGCTCTACAGGATGGCTTTTTTTTTTTTTTTTTAGTGAATGTTCCAAATTCTGCTCCCTTACCACACTGCCCCTTCCACTTGTGAACTCCTATTTATCTTTGGAGTCCCAATGCAGTCACACTTCTCTGGCCAAGTCATCCTTGAGTCTTCCCCGCACGGCGTTAACTGCTCAAATGGGGTGTTTCATAAACGCGGGTACGTGAATGAACTAAAGGGGGAACACCCCCGTTCCTAAATCAGATAATTTTTACTGATGTGCTCAGAGATTGAGTTACATTATATTTTATAGCTACACAAACATGTAGCTGTGTATAACATAAGGTTGTTAGTAATACATAATATTATGACTAAGGGCTATGATATTAAACTCAGTAATGCTTGGCTTTTAAAAAATACCTCCAGAATCATCCGAGAAAAATGGGAGGAAGGAAGAGCACCTTACTCTGATTGACAAAGTCGAAAACAAGAGGTGCGAAATACTCAAGAAACTGGATGAAATTCAAGCTCTTGAAACAGAAATTAAAACAACTTTGGTTCATACTGGAATTTTACATATTACTGAGAGTAGGATTAAAAGCATAGAGGTATGCAATTTATTCATTTCAATGTTTACATTATTCTTCACTTGATTTTGGCAAACACATGGAACAATTTGATTTTGCAATAAGGTAAAAAATTATGTAAATTTGGTCCAAATATATTTTCATTTCAAAACATTTATAGCCAATGACTCACAAATGATTAGAACAATTGAGAGATCTCGCTAAAAACACCAAAAATGAAGGTGACGGCCCTTCTGTGGCGGTCAGCGAAGGGTCCAATGTCTTTCAGGTCAATCGATGTCTCTTAAAATTTAGTATTTTGTATAGAAAACCCTTGTAAAAATAATGGCTGCGGTCATTTAGCGTCTAATGCGTGCTGAGGAGCTTAAGCGGAAGCTCAGAGCCGTTCAATAACCCGCCGACGTGAAGCCCTTGGGTTCCAGCTTAAGTCTTTCGGGACCTGAAGCCCTGTTACTCCTGCTGTACCGCGTGGGCTCGCCGCGCGGTTCTGAGGTGGTTGCACAGCTATGCTGGCGGAGGGGACTGGCGTGTGGCCACAGAAAGGAGAGTCCGTTGTGTTCAAAGTCGTTCTTTTGTTTTTGTTTTTTACACTTATCGTGACAATTTTCTTGGTGAGTAATGTATTGTACATGATAATCTGTGTTCTGAAATGCGGAGTGCCCTACTTTCCATATGTTATTGCCTCCCTTTAGTTTGTGCAGCATCTGGCTCAGTTTAACCTTTCGTTACAGAGTTTATAATGCATAAGGAGTTACCCGTTGTTACTGGGGTTATATAGGTACGTAGATTTCCCAAGCACCGCTTTTTCTTCCTCCTCAGCAGAATCATAAAGTGTATGGGAAGGAGGTGGCTCTCCACACTTGTTTTGATTTCTCTATCTCTTACAATCATACATTCAGATTTCTGTGGGGTTTGTTTTTTTTTTTAGTATCTTCGTTTTTTAAAACTGAATAATATCCTGAGACCAGACACTAACTTATAGTTGAATTTTTAAACATTGAAAATAATAATGAGTTATAGCTTTACATATTATAAGCATGATGTAATGCCAAAATTATGGAAATTTTTCTTTCATAATTAATATCTCTTTAAATGGATCTAATTAAATGAAATAGAAGAGTCCCTGTAATGATTCCATATTATGAATTTATATTACTTTATTTATTATTTATATTTGGTTCTTTGATTCAAATAATGGCAGGTACAATAAAACTGCATTTCCTATCCTATTAAGTAATTAATTTCTGGTTTTGAATCTGAAATATGTAATTTCTAACCCAGAGAAAAATAACTAAATGGATCATTGATTAAAAATGCACCAGATACTCCTGTGACCATTTAAAAATTACTATGTCATTTAATTCTCAGCAACCCTCAGAGATAGTAGAGGTAGGTGCTCTATTGCTGACCTCCCTTTCTGGGTAATGAAGCCAAGGGGCAGATAGGCTGTGTAAGCTGACAGAGGGCACAGTGAGCAAACAGTGGACCGAGGGTTTGAACTCCACCTCGGTCCTTAATTACATGCCGTACAGCCTCACCGGCGTGACTGCCGGTCCTTTCCAAGTCGTCGGCTATCCGCAAGGGCAAGGCTTGGCGACCCCTGCTCATCGTTGTTTGTCCACAATTATTTTGGATATTTCTATTCATAGTGTTAACTAACGTTTTAAGTTTCAGTAACAACACTCTTTGTATTTTAATTGTGCTCGCGATGAATTCACACATTCATTTGAGAAGAAATGGCAGCCGTACGATATTAGCATTCCTGCCAAGGATCATTTTATATTTATTTAATGTACTTTAAGCAGTGCTTTTAAATATTTTTGTGATGTTTATTCTTATGATTTTATGGCACCTGTTACTATTGTAAATGAAAATATAAAATAATTTTACATTATAGTGTCTAATGGGTTATTGTTGGTATATATGTGACTTGTTGATACTTGTATTTTTATTTTGTATCCAGTCACCTTAACAGATTCTATTGTTAGTTCTGAAAAGTGAGGAAGTCTTCCACCCTGGGATTTCCCTGAAATTCTCTAGCGTTTTCCAACATCAATCCCCACTTCCTGTAATTTCTGACCCAGAAGAACAAGATCTGTCTGTCTCTCTTCACACGCTCCAAGTCATGCTTTGTCCATTCCTCTCTCGTAAACGGTGTGCGGCTGGGTGCTTCTGAACCAGAATAACAGCGTTGCCATGATACGTTTTGTCCTATAAGAGGGGAATCTGCTTAACAAATATTCTTAACCAAGTGTCTTTCTCTTAAAACCATTTTTTCCCCTTCAGACTGAAGCTATAAAACTGGAAAGAACAAACACGATTTTAACAAGGAAAATAAATGTAAGTTTTTGTAAACCAATGTTTTTCAATAGAAACATTTTCTCTAGTGCCTTATTACACTATGTCATAAATCAAATAAAAATATATGCATTAGCTTTCTAAATGATAACTCTCTGTAATGCTAGGAATAGCTGGCTATTGGAGGGTCAGCTATTGGAGAAGTGTAAGCTAATACACTAAAAATCTTTCTAAATAGTTGAATGTGTCTGTCAGAATTAATCAGTTCTATAATCCTACCACACAAAACAATTAGTTTTAAAGAGTTGATTTGGTCACAGGAAATATAATGGACTTGCTCCTCCAATGATTTTCAGGATACCTCTTCAGAATACACTAACAATTTGCTGCTTCATAGATTCTAATTCTGTCTCTATTATGTACGTCTCTGTCTATATTATGAAGAGTGTAAATTAGAGTGGTATGCCTGACTCTAGCTGTGAAAACCTGCTTGGATTCTCTATCACTGCCGTCACGTGTGACTGGCTGATTTGTAACCGTTGGCAGGTTATGGAGAACCAGGTGAAGAGGTGGCTGGGGAAGGGTATCGGTGAGGAGGAGCAGCGGTAAGTAATGACGCGGCGACCAGGGCCTGGCATATCCTCAGGCCATTCTCAAAGCCGTCCATGGCAAAGCAGGCTAGATGGGACAATACTTTTGCAGTGTTTACATTCATGAGTCTTAACTTGAAATATAAATGTTATGCCCCTTCCTGTGCTGAAAATGCTTAGCCCAAGATTTAAACCTCTATCTCTATATATTTTTCAGCAATAAAGAAACACATTCTTTGGAGAAACCTGAAGAGGCACAGGTTCTTTCCCATGGGCAGGGAGCAGGAAGGTGCTGGGGTTCGTGGCTGTGGGTGGCTCTCTTTTCTCCAATGATACAGCATTCGTTGATATTAAATCTTTGAAAAACCTATACATGTAGCACTGTAAAACTTTCAATTTAAAAATAAAATGGCTGGTTCATATCATCTGTTATGTAAGTTTAGAGTTTATATAGTTAAATTTCTTAGAGTTTGTATTACAGTTCAAATCTTACAATTTGGTACGCCTGGGAGCAACCGAAAACCATCGATGATTTAAATGTGGAAAGGGGTTATTTTCCCAACAGTAAAAAGACATTAAGTTGTAAATGGGCCAGGTTCAGGGATATCACCAAATAGCCAGGGTTCTTCTCTCTTCCTTCCCTGTTTGTCTTGAGTGTAGTTTTCCTTGGACCCTCCCTATGGCTGTCGTCAGGCGTTGGGTCCATGTCCCGCGGAGGAAGAAATGGGGAAACGCTTCTCGTCATGAGGCTCTTCTGTTTTATGCAGGAAGAAAAGCCCTTCCTAGGGCCTCCCACTCAACTCGTTGGCCAGCACCATGTGCCCAGGCCATACGTTGTTGCAAAGGAGTCCAGAGAATAGAACATCCCACTCCCAGCTTACATGGTAGAGAAAGCCACGGGGGAAAGGCGTTAGAACAGGTGCTGAGTGAGCCCTACAGGTGCATGCTGGCTGGGGGGGCCTGACGTCATGCTAGGTGTCCTCAAAGGAGAACAATGCGACTTGGGAAGGCTCCTTTCACAGTTGTAGCAAAGAGAATAGATGAGTCTAAGTTTTAAATGACTTCAGGGTGCACCTACCTCCACCACACTATCCTTACTCTGGAAGATGCTGCAGGGGATTTGCCCACCTATAGAGAGAATCTTTGCTGCATTCAAGGCCAAAGCTCTGCTTAAAATATTCTCTAAAGTGAAAGTGGAGGATTGCAAAGACTCACTTTAAGTAAATACGTCCTAAAATAGATGCTTATATTAAAATTCTATGCTTAATGTCCTTTTTCTAATTTATTATATTTATTTGTTACGTATTTTAAGGAAACTTTGGGGATTTATTGAAGAATATATAAAACTAAAAGAAACGGATGATAACTCTCAAGTGGCTGGAAAAACGACCCATGAAAATTCAGAAGCATCATGTCCATAGCATGGATATTTGCAGATATGTAAATTAATGGAGATACATCTCATTGTGTCAGTTTTAACATGCAATAAAATTAATGTGGAATGTATGTCTTACTCAAGATACTGAAATAAATACACGTATGCATGTGATAGTTTTACTTTTGTATCCATATTTGTAACAATATTTCTTAGAGTATTTTTCGCTTCTATTCAATAACTTTCTCCAGGGAAAAATACGTTTAGTTATTTGATGGGAATAAGAAATTCAGCACCGTTGCAATGCAGACGCAACTTATACATAGGCATATCATAAAATGTAGTCGTCTACTTAATATCCATTTGGTTAAACGATCTTTGCTGATTGTGAAGGGCACAGGGGCTTCACAAATGTGGCACCACCAGCATGTGCACTGCGCATGTCTAAACCGATTGCGATCTTCACGACAACATTGTGACAGCATGGATGAGCCAACACCGGCCCCGTGGATGAGGTGATCCTCAAACCATGGCTTACCAATTCCTTCAAAAAGTAAACTTCAGTGAGACGTGCCAAAGAGTATAGAAGGCTCCAGCCTGCTGGGCTGAGTTCTGCTTTCTCCTGCCGTAAAGCCAGCCATCATAGTGATTTTCCCCCTATTTCTTATGGATCCATGACACATTAATATGAATTCAAGGAGAATTTATTAAATTAAGTACATTCTGCATATCATTTGTGTCCTGTCTTTAAAGCCATTAGAAGCTCTGAAAATGTCTGTGGAGTCCCTGGTCTGGATATGCATTGTGAGTGACTTTATAATTGTTATGAGTAGGGAATATAAGAATTTGTTTCTAGGGAAAAACTTTTAGCCTAAAATGGGAATCTGTACTAGGAGGTGCTAGAGAACTTGTGCTCTATGGTTATTTCAGCCCCTGGTGAATTAATAGGGGAGAAACCCGTCACACCTGGCCACTGGCTTTCCATTGTAACTGGGTTGCTAGAGGCCACGCTTTGGAGAAGAAGGAGAGTCGTCTCAGCATGAATTCAAGTGATACAAATAGACCTAGAAATGAGAAGGATCTTAGAACAGCTATAATAAATATTATTGATATGATCATAGAATTGAAAAAATACAAATACATTGAGGAAGGAAATAAAACACGTAAAAGAACCAGTATTACCTCTAAATTTAAAATCCCCCTCTTGCTGGATGAAATGACAATATAGCAGAGAAAAGAAAGCACTAGTGAGCTTGAAGATATAGAAACAGAAATATTCAAACTGAAGGACAGAGAGAAAAGAGTTTGAAAAACTTAATAGAACCTCAATGGCATGAGAAAATAATAATTTAACATATGTGGGATTCGAGGACAAGAAGAAATAAGGGCAGGAAGGATATTTATTGAGGGTGCAATGGCTAAAAATTATCAAACTTGATGAATACTACAAATACATTTAAGAAGGTAAAAAAAGTCTCAAGGAGGATGAGAAAAGGTACATTATAATCAAATTGCTTAAAATAAGTTATGGGGAAAAAGTCGAGTAAGAAGCTGGAGGAAAAAGACACATTATCCAGGGCAACTAAAACAAGAGTTATTACAGACTTATCAATGGAAGTTATGAAAGCCAGGAGACAATGGTGAATCTTAAAATGCTGGCAATGTTTGGGGGAGGGGGGCCCTGCTCATGTAGTATCTATATGAAGTAAAAATATCTTCAGAAAAATCCCATTTCACACACACACACACACAAAGCTGAAATTACCAGTTATCTGATGAGCTGAACTACAAGGAATGTTGAAGGAAATTTTTTAATCCAAACACAGTAACACTGAATTAAAACTTGGATCTATGCAAAAGAATGAAGAACACTGGAAATGGTAAATATTTGTGTCTATGGAAAAAGCTTTCTTTTAAAATTTTTTTTTGCATTAAAAGATCATTGATTTTTAAAGCATAAATAATGACAATGTACCATAGAGTTCATAGCATATGCAAAGTTCGGAGAAACAAGAGCACAAGGAATAGAGAGGGGAAATGGAAGTATATTGCTTCAATGTATTTACACTGAGAGTGCGGAGTGTGATAGTATTTGAAGGTAGATCGAGATTATATAAAGATACTTATTACAAACTGTAGAGCAATTACTAAAAATGTAAAGCATAAAGGTAAAAGTATGAATCCAATAGAAAGCACACAAAAAGGCAAAACAAAGAGACATGCGGGATTATAAATGTATACCTGAGTATATAAATAAATTACAATAAATATGAATGACCCAAATATTTTAATTAAAAGGCACATTGTATAGAGACAAGAGTCAATCAGAATCTATCAGAAGTCCTCTTCAAATATATTAACATGGGGAAAATATATTGAAAAGAAACCTGGCATGATCATAATTAATATCAAAATAAACTTGGTATAATCATATTAATGTCAAAGTAGGCTTTTAAAATGATTAAAAATCATTTTAATCATTTTGAAATTCTTATTTCAAAAGAATTATTACCAGGGGTAATGACAAGCATTTCATAATAATGAAGTGATCAGTTCATCAGGGGGATGTAACATTCCTAAATCTTTAAAACAAACTATCAGTCTATAGACTGGAAGAAAAATACTTGCATACTTAACAACACATTTGATAAAGGACTAATGTCCTGAATGTATAACAAACTCCAACAACAACCCAGTAATAATAAGAAATGTACCAAAACATATAATGGGCAAAAGATTTTAACAAAACTATGTATATATACATTATATGTGTATATATACACACCACACACATTTCCAACACACATATAAAATTTGCTTATCATGAGTAACCAGGACAATGCACATTGAAACCACAGTGAGACATTATGGCACATCTACTAGATCAACTAACATGCGATAGATCGGCATGACGCGTTGTTGGCGTGAATGTGGCGCAGACATTGCTGGTTGGAACATAAAATGACATAATCACATTGGAAAAAGATCTGGCAGCTTCTTACCATGTTATCACATGCAATATGACCGTGTGGATTTACTTCTAGGCTTTTATCAAAACAAATGAGAAATGTGTGTCTACACAAAGGCTAGAATACAAATGTTCAGGCTGATTTGCTTACAATGCCCGAACTAGGCCCCCACTAGATAATGAATGAACAAACAAAGTGGCTTATCCCTACTACGGAGCCCTACTCGGCAATAAGGAGCAGGGAGTCATTCGCACATGTGACATGGATCCAACCTCGAAATCAGTTCCGTCAGCGAAAGGAGTCAGGAAACAAAGGGAAAATACTGCATGATCCATTTTATTGAAAATTCTAGAGGAGGCCTAACAGGAAAGAAAACTGATCAGTGCTCAGGGTTGGTACGGGGTGGTGATTTGGCAAAAAGTCACAAGGGATATTTTGGGGGTGATAGGAATTTTTATACATTGTGGTTATAGTAATATTTCACTCACATTTGCCAAAACTCATTGAACTATAGACTCAAAATATGTGAATCAATAAATTTGATTAGCAAAATAGTCCTCATGGATTTTTATTGAGAGTTTCATATAGGTGTTCATGGGTGTGCTGGGCCAAGGGGAAGGCCCCTGCCATCTTCCTTACTATTTCAGTTTTCTGGAACATTCCATTTGAAATACAGTCATCTCAAAACTCAAGATCAAGTGGGGTGTCTTCGTTTTGAACGGGGAGCTTTCTCTGCATTGGCCACAAGATGGCAGTGCAGCCTGCTGGACGGCGTCTTAAATGCTCCACCCCGATTCCGAGCTGCCTTTGGAGCCCCGTTTCTAACGGTGAGCCTCTGATGTTCCCGATGGAGCACTTCTCTGCCAGGCAGCGGGCTGCGGGAGGCGGCTGTCCTTCAGCCAGGGACTCCCGGCTGTGCCGTGCCCGTGCCCGTGCCCGTGCCCGTGGAAAGAGCTGCTCCCCAAACCCTCCTGTTGCACTTCATTCTTTTTAATTTAATAAGTATTTAATGTTCTTTAGTTTATAGAGAACCTATTTTAAAAAACAATAAAATAAACTGGGGAAAATAAATGAGTATACAATTCAAATATGTAAAAATACAAATAATCAATAAACATGTTTTAAAAGTTTAACCTCACCTGTAATAGAAAAAATGCTAATTAAAATACATTTTAACATAATAAATTGCAAAAAGGATGATGGTGTATATTTTTATGTGTTAAAATAACATGTATATGTTCATATATAGATTGAATAAAAATTTCATAAAGCTACATAATGGAAATTATGTTGTCATTAAAAATTAACCCTCAAGGGATATTTATGGACATGGAAATATATAGCCCAGACTATAATATTAACTGTAGAAAAACAAATAATCCCGTGTTATGATTCCAATATGATTAATACATAGGTATAATATGCATTAAACAAAAACTGGGTGGAAAATAAAACTAATATCATCTTAGAATTGGGATAATATTTTAATTTGTTTTTATACTTTTCGGTAATTTTCCTTTAAAATGAATACTTTGAAAACCAGATAATGCTATCTAAAGCATAATTATGATTAAAATTTAAAAATATTAATTGGGATAGCATTATACAAACTATTAGTTACAATGCAAAAGAGTAAACACCCCAAACGCGAAGCCAATGGATGACTCAGGGAGCGTCAGCGTTGAGCCGGGCAGCCCTTCCTCCCCACGGCCAGGCAGCCCCTACAGGCACTTCTGCTGGTTTGCTTATAAGGCCCGGATTCCCGGGAAGCAGCGACTGTACGCCGCTTCGGCTCACACTGAGCTTCCCTCACGGCAAGGTCCTGGGCAGCGCGGGCCTGGAGCTGCGCTCCTTACGGCGGGGACAGCGCAGGAGCGGCCCTCGCCGGCGGGCTGTCCTCAGCCCTGTCCTTCCTGCGCGCCCCCCGGGGAGCGGCGGAGCGGGAGAAAGGGGCCCAACAGTCGCGCCTTAGTCCTCGCCTGGCACCGGAACAGGATCCGTCCTCCCTTCTGCCGCCTCCTGCTGCCGCTGCAGCAGGAATTGTTCTGCTTGGTAGCAGGTCAGTGGCCTCCAGCGC